ACGAGGGGTTTGTAATTATGATTAGTTTCTTTAGGACTGCTCTGTTTCCAGATTTTTCCAACTAGTATTATGTTGGAACTAATTTCTATTCTTATGCTTGCATGATTCAGATGAGTGGATTAAGAATGAAGATTGCTGGAAGATTTGAGCCCTGTGTCCATATGGGCTGTTTTGATCTTGAAGTTTTTGTGGAAATGAATCAAAGGTCTAGGAAGGTAAGTAAAAACGATGAAAGATTTTATGTTTCCGCTTTCTTTCAAATAGTCTAAATTAACGCAATTGATAGCCTTACAGCAGACACAATTTTCTTTTGGTCAAACCAATTCATTTTTTTATCAATTTCTCTACATGGATGCAGTGGCAATGTCCTATTTGTCTCAAGAATTATTCTCTGGAGAAAATCATTATAGACCCTTATTTCAATCGAATTACATCCAAGGTATTGTTTATGTCTTATGGTGTTGATCTATTCCCTTACCCCACCCCCAGCAATATATGCATGTAAATATTGCTTTTCTTGGTTATGATTTACAGATAAAAAATTGTGGAGAAGATGTGAATGAGATTGAAGTTAAGCCTGACGGCTCCTGGCGTGCAAAGACAGAAGGTGACCGTAGGGTTCTCGGGGAACTTGGGCTGTGGCACTTGCCTGATGGTAGTCTCTGTCCCTCTATGGAGGAAGAATCTAAACCCAAACCAGAATTTCCTGAACAGATTAAGCAGGAAGTTGGTTCTGATAGCCATACTGGTTTAAAACTAGAAATGAAGAAAAACCGAAACGGTTGCTGGGAATTAAATAAATCTGATGATATGCTGAAACTATCGTCGACAAACAGATTACAGGAACATTTTGAAAACAATGTCCATAATATAATTCCGATGAGCAGCAGCGCCACTGGCAGTGGTAGAGATGGTGAAGATGCTAGTGTCAACCAGGATGGCGTAGAAAACATTGATTTTCCCACAAGCCACGGCATTGAGCTGGAGTCAATTTCCCTGTCTATGGACCCAAGCTATGGATTTAATGAGCAACATCCACCTGCACCACTTGAGGACGTAATTATCCTCAGCGATTCAGAAGAAGAAATTGATCCACTAATTTCTTCTGGAGTGGTCTACAAGAACCACCTCATGGACAATGGTGGAACCACTTTTCCTGTTTCCCAGCAAGGAATTTCTGGTTCTTATCCGGAAAATCCTGCTGCCTTTGGTAATGGTATTGGTCTTTTCAATCCTCACGATGATGATTTTGGGATGCATATGTGGCCTTTGCCTTCTGGTAGTCAAGGAGCCCCGGGTTTTCAGTTTTTTGGTTCAGATGCAGATGTAACAGATGCCTTGGTTGATGTGCAGCATGGTTCTATCAATTGCCCAACTTCGGTTAATGGCTACACATTGACTGCAGAGACTGCCATGGGATCTGCTGCACTTGTTCCCGAGTCTTCTGTTAAACATACTAATGTAAATGATGGCTTAGTTGATAACCCTTTGCCATTTAGTGGTAACGATCCTTCGCTTCAAATATTTCTTCCTACAAGGCCTACTGATGCATCAACACAGGTTGATATGAGAGATCTTCCAGATGTTTCAAATGGTATTCGTAGTGAGGATTGGATTTCTCTCAGGCTTGGGGGTGGCAGTGGAGGGGGTCATGGTGAGTCTGCGGCTTCAAATGTTTTAAGCTCCGGGAATCAATTACAATCCAAGAATGGTGCCTTGAATTCATTGGCAGACACGGGTACGTGATGTTGTGTTCTCTTCAACCATAATATTAGCTCACTTTTTCCAAATTTCTTTTTGAAACCACTATAAATTTTGTCCACGTTTACGAGATGATTATTTTTATTTTTACATGGCTTCATAATGGTTTAAAAGCTAGGTAAAATATATAAAACCTGCCATATAGCTCGACCAAACGAGAACTGAAACCGCACGACATCCTCCTAGAAATAGTTTGGCGGTGTTAACTTTTTCTCATTCCTTGGCCCTTCCAAAAAGATCTTTTCCACCAATGTAATATCTTCCTTTTTATTTTTATTGCAGCTTCTTTACTTCTTGGTATGAATGATAACAAGTCCGGTAAGACGAGTAGGGAAATATCCGATAGTCCTTTTTCATTTCCTCGACAACGGCGTTCTGTAAGACCAAGGTTATACCTTTCTATTGATTCAGAATCCGAGTGAAGCTGTTCGCAACCATATTTGGAGGACATCACTCAGTAAAAAAGAAGTTATAATACCAGATGCATCTCGTTTGAAGAAATCTCCCAGAAGGTTATGGGGATTTGTTATTGCTACCCAGTTGTTCTGTTTTTTGGCAAAAAGGTAATTGTTAGAGGTAGCTAGGGACTCCGTGTGCTGCCACCTGGAACATTGCTTTTGGTTGGTGAGCAGTTTTTAACTCTGTTCTATTTATCAGAGTTATCCCTGCAATTCCTAGTATCTTTCGACTTCATTATCATGGATCTGCCGTTCCTAGTAGGTCAGAGAGGCACATTCTTTTTCTTCTCTTTTCTTTAATGACCTGCAGGTATCTTTCTGGTTGATTGTACATTTTATAAGTCGTTTTATTTAAAAAATGACCAAAAAAAAAAAAAAATTAAAAATTCCATTGGTATTTCTTTCTAGGTGGAGTTAGCAGGCTTTAGAAGAGGAAAAACGTTTCGGTTTTGCTCAATGGCCTGTAAATGTCTCAACTTCAGTTTCAGTGACTTATATACCAACTTAAATTATGTATATATATATATACATATTTTGGAGCTTGATTATTTCACAATGCAATATTTATATTGATGATCCTATTTATAATTCATTTATGCTGCAGAAATCTGAATAGGGTTCGGGTAGGGGAAGGTTTTATATTTCTTCGCTGATAACTGAAAGTGGTGGTATCTGCATTTATCTGTATTTGATTTGGAATTTTGACATGCTAGATATATTAGGATTGGAATTGAGGTCTATAATGAGATGTTGCTCGTAATGGATATCTGCTACTGCATCTTTATAATGTTGCAGTCGAACTCTCGACTTATCTATTAGGTGTGGCACTTGGTAGATTTTTTGGAAACACAACCTCAAATTCTTGCACTACCGATACCTCACTCATCTTCTTGATGCTGCATTCCCAAAATACTGACTAGGAACACCTGACCTGTTCCTTTCCTTAACATCTTCCGAGCCTTCATTGCACCCCCGACCTTGTTCGTTTCCTTGACATCTTCTGAGCCTTCAATGCTAAAATTATGTGTAATGTGTTTGAGGTTTAGTCGTCCCCCAAAGAAATTTCCCTGGAGCTTTTAAAGGCAATGCATTCTCGACATCAGATGGTGTGACTACATCCCAACCAATCCATGCGGAAAATTATATCCAAGTCTTTCATTTTTATTATGAACAGGTTTGCCTCAAAACTATCTTTCCCCAATTTCCTTTAAACAAACTTAGCTATCTCATCTTGTATTTAACCCTCTACCTGAGGGAATGTTTTACCTCTTGTACACCATCAGACTTTATCACGTGCTTTATGGCAAATCACTCGAAACTATGCTCAACTTTGGTTAGTCCCTCCCTTTGGTTTTGCATGTCACCGTTGATGTTGATCGAAGCTACAACTTTTCTCATGGCCAATGCTGTGATTGACTAAAGAGGTAAAGCAGCGGGCTAGAATCTTGTTCATTCCACAAGTACGTGTAATACCATTTGAGACTACTCGACCGCTCTCTCCCGCTAGAAAATAGTACCCTTTCAATAAATTAAATGAAGTGTGTTTTTTGTAGAGATTTTTATTTAGAACTACCTACTTCCAAATCTCTTGCTCAAAATAATAGAATTTCTTTCAAAATTCAGAGCTTGTTTGGGAGGGATTTTTGGGGGAAGAATTGATTTTGAATAGTGATATGATGGGAAATGTGTGGTTGAGAAAGAAGAAAAAAGTAATGATGTGATAGAAAATATTATTTTATTGAAAGATGTGGTTGAAAATGAGAATTGATTTACCGTAGAAAATAAAAATCTGTACCAAACAGGCCCTAAGAATGCAACGAAGGGAAATGCATCACTTATCCCTTGTCTGAATCGGTTCTCACCATATTTTAAGGAAAATTTGGACCATTGAAAAGTAGGTGGCCCGTAATATTTTGATTCAAAATTAGTTATGTTATAATAAATGTCCTTTCAATGTATTAAACGTCGAAATGGTACAAATATAATTTTCCAGAATTGGTAAAAAGGTGCAACTGCCAGATTACTGTATAACAGTAAGAATATTTCTAAAAATTTGGTGAGTATCGACCCAGACACGCACTTAACAAGATGTTATGGTGGCTGTGAATTGCTTCATTAATAATTTGAATTTATGAACATAATCGTAATCATGTTGAAATTTGGCCTATAACAAATATTAAAGAGCATACGTCACCTTCATACAATGAAGTAAAGGAATTTACCTTAAAATGCAAAACAGTAAAAATTATAATTTATACAATTTTCTTTAAACTAATCTTACATTTGTGAGTCCCGTCATCGTCTCCTCACCTCTTGATCCCCATCAGTTCCCTTCTAGCATGTAAATTCACAAAATCGCTAAATGTGATTGCAAAGCAACTAAGCGAGCCTACACAATGTTCTTACCTTCCTTTTTCTTCGAATTAGTGTACAAGAAACAGGCTGTGAAAGGAAGAGGTCAGTTGAATGACTTCCATATGAAGAAACGGAGTTTTAACAGAAAAAAAAATTGATCTCAGTGCCGTAAAAATTCAAGGATTTTGCAGGTCTGAATAAACTTGAGCTGATCCATGACAATCTTGTGATGTATTATTATTTAGTCCAAGAATGGAGAATCACATAAAACTTTAACCTCACGCCCAATCTATAATGCTTGACATTGAAGACAATGAGTACAATGCGGGAAAACCACTTCCCCTGATCGAATCAACCCAGCGAGGAATAATCATTCCAGTACCTTTATTCAGGGGAAAACAATTTCATTGCTGTCATCTGTCCTCACTATTGAGACTCCGAATGTTTGAAGCTTTCACAGCCAGGGCAGTTGTGCAAGCTCTCATGAATGTAAATGTCACAATCGAGACAGAAATGTTGTTTGCATTTCGGACAAGTAACAGATAGACCTGGCAAATTTCCTGCATCAACATAAACTCGGTCAAGGTGGGAAAGAAGCTAACACAGAAATTGTATCAATAGTACGTACAGCCAAGCAAATTTTCAAATTCTAACAAGAATCCACAATCCCAAGCTATTGACATCGTAACTTCCAGCACATACAATGATTGCCTTTAAACAGGTGCTTCTTGCAAGAGCTAGCACAGAGTATTTGGAGAAATCATAATATTCATTTCTAGAAAATGGTCAGCAACATGGCTTTACATATTCCAGTGCCAAAGACAGCTTAAAGCCTTAAAGTGATTATAAAAGTTCTGTCAAGGAACCGAAACAGTACACTATTATAGAAGAAGTAGACGGCCAAAAGGTTATAATGATGAAATGTGTGAGAGCAAGATATCTTGACATTGATTCACTAAAGTGAAGTTACTTAATTAGACAGTAACATGACAAATGAATTTGTTATCGGGTGCATAAGCCAGTATGTTTTTTAATGCTTTTGCCAGTCAAGTAGATTAGAGAGAGAATTGCCTCGTTCTATATCCCCACCTTACAGAAAGGATGCAGCTGCTGACCATATAAAATTAGCGATTGGTGTGGAACCATTGATGCTCAAAATGGCCACAAGGAGCATAGATAGTATCTTCTAGCAGATTTATCATATAGTTTTTGACGTAAAATATGATCTGTAGACATGACAGCATTTGGCAATGGTGACTACATATGAATCTATCAATTGTGCCTTCCTACATAATTGCATAGATAAATAGTCTACACCAGAAGCTATTGTATTTACATAGACATATAAAAATGGCGGCAACTTCAGTTCTGGGTTCTTAGAGATGATACCATTGAAGAAGTTAGTCTAAAAATCCATCATCCAAGAAGAATATAATGTGACATGTCTCCCTTTCGAAGTAGGTAAAAGGAGAATAATGTATAATGTTTATTTGATTTCTGAAAGATAATCTTACATTGGTAAGGAAAATTCAAACTCAATCTAGTAAGGGAAAGACATTATTCTAAGACATCCAGAAAAGGAGGGCAGGAAATTGAATATGATGAAGTATTTCTAACATGAATATATTATTCTTAAGGTCAATGAATGACAGATAGTAACCGATTCATTTTTGGCCTCTATCACAGCTTGAGAAGGGGCAGAGCCTTTTCGCTGTGTTATCACGACCACTAAAATGCATCACAGAAGTGAAAGATGCTAGTATGAAATTATCCATAGGTCGGAATGCAATCTGGGAAAATATAGTTGACAGACAAAATTTGAGGTCAGCTATGATACATGGAAACAAAGTATTGTTATCCAACCACAAACATGCTCACAGGTTCATAACAATGTAAACCAAAGAAGCTATTAGATCTGTGGCTGGAGAAAAGAGGCACATGTTGTGAGCAGCTCCATGCCAAAACAATATGTTAATTCTATCGTAAGCCATTCTAAAGAACATGAAAAAAAAAGAAAAACATGTCCGGGTGTCTATAACTAGTCATCTCATATAATGATTACATACAACAGAAACAACAATCTCTTACCAGGAGCTAGGAGACTTTGTTGGCAACCGAAACAATTTTTTGGCACTTTGTGTGGATCACTAGAAACTGATGGCGCTACATCATCAAATGGCGTAATAGGAAATAGATGATGATACGACCTTGCCAAATGGGGTGAGGAAACAAGGGTCAGTCCACATATACAACATTCGGTAGGCAACTCACAAACGCGTGCTTTGCATCTTGGACAAGTATAGCCTCCACCAACCTTGGCCTCTTTATGACACGAACAGATTGAGATAACACCTTCTGCTGCTCTTTGTGGAAAACCCATCTTGATCAAATTCGCAATTGCAAATTCTGCTATAGCTGGAGGTGGTGGAGCGTGCTCGAGCACTAATTCTTTTAAATGAGGCTGCCAAGAAAGATATATTACAATATGTACTTACGTTGACTTTTTCTGACTCATCAGAATGGGAACTTAAGGATTATTTATTATTTTTATGATAGAATATATATCACAAACATTATTCTAAAAATTGCAACTCACCTCATCCAAGGAAACAGAGTATGATCCACCAGTTTCTTGGCAAAGATATTTGCATATGTAGAGCTCAGCAGAGAGACCGATTACTGAGCACCTAATCTTAGATGACTTGCACTTTTGGATTGTTTCCATTATATCACCTGGATCACAAGTGCTAAGAGCGGAGTACAGAATAAGGACTTCACGGTGACCATATGATGGGATTTGATTGAGAAGGCTGTGCACGAGATCTAAGCCATTTTGCAGGGAGGCATCACCTGAGCACACCAACTTACCCATCAATGCTTTGATATGAGACTCAGGACTGCCACCAAGCTCTGTTAGGCAATGAGCGACCCCGTCTTTTAAGGTTAACAGACCAATTTGACTCAAAGGATTTTGGTCAAAGAACTCCCTGATGAAAGCCTCCACTTGTCGAGCAACCACGACCATTCGGTTTGGTTTATAGTCTATCTCTGTTGCTGCCTGCATGTCAGAATACATATTAGTTCACAAAACTCTTTCAAAACAAGACAAAAACATGCAGATAAATAGATTATACCTTTAAATTTTTCATTTCTTTGATAATATTTTTATGGTATCAATACCTGGTTTAACATTAGATTTGTGATGTATACAATTCCACATGAAAAAGGTGTTTCTACCAACCTTTGCTTATATATACAACAACAAGAATTTAATCCTTAACCCCGATAAATTTGTGTTGTTACATGAATCCATCTGTTCTATATATGATGAAAGGTCTAATTGGGTCAAATGATTTGCAGCCACATTGGATTATATCAATTCTGATCTTCTCACTCTTGTAACCTATTCTATGTGGATCATGGAACTCCACAAATAAGTGCTAATTTTACGCAAGGTATGCCTTGAGTCGTACTTCCCTTAGTTTATATTATTCTTAGTTAGAATTCATCCAATTGTTAATCTATGCCTTCATTCTTATGCTATACATTTAGTTATAGCAACATATTTATCTAAAACCTTCATTTCTGCTATGTCCATCTTAACGACATTGTTCTATAGAGTGCGGCAATCAATTCCATAAAGTATAACTCATCCAAAAAACCGTTTCACAAAATTAAAGATTTTAACTCGATAGGTACCTTCTAATCACATAAATCATTGTAACACATCTTCATTTTGTCTCTAACCCTATATATTACATCATCTCCAAGTCGTAACCTAAACTGAGTCCCCCTTCCTTATTAACAATTGACTACATACCCAAAACAATTGCACATTGAGACAATATAATCCTCTATTATGATTTCATCATCATCTTCATTACTACTACAACTAAATGAAACATGATCCCCAATTACATAGTACAATTTAATTCTACTTAAAAGTAGAACCTTAAGACTTATTCCTAACCTTTGCTTATACATGCCGAGGCAGAAGAGCTCAGCAACATTTGTGTTTGAACAGAAGAGGTGTATTTTGAACAAAAGAGCTTGGTAGCATGCATGTTTAGTAGAAGAATTGTATTAAATTTTCTGAACCATTTAGAAATAAGAAATCGATTGCACTAGATAAGAAAGACGAGCTTTAACAACCAGATAGACCCATAAAGATTTAGTCTGTAAGGAACATGTATCTATATGCCAACACTATAGTCCTAAATCTAGAAGGCCTTCAGTTAAAATCAACAGGCAAGAACATTTATACGTGGATATATATGTTACAGGAAATATTTGACACTCACAAAACAAATTCACCTAAAATACAATAAGGGAAATTTAGAGGAAATAATATTTAAGTTAACAAATAAAAAAGCTCATTTATTTAAGTATTGAAGAACTCCCCAGGGAGATATTCATCCCTTCTTGTTTAAGAGAGAGATGTTCTTGATTCAATCATAAATAGGTCAAGTTTAAACAACCCATTGACAAGAAGCTGCATTTTTTTTCAACTTTCCATGTGAGAACGATTGTTTACATACCCGGGAGAGATCGATGACAACGTATAGATAGCGAATAAGGCCCTTCTGAATTCGAGCAGAAGTTGCAGTGCGAAGGCGTCGACGATATTGAGCATGGTAGAGGGTTTTGTTGTCAATAGGGCGAAGGAGTCCAGATTCATCCTCTTGCAGAGACTCCCAAGATCTCTCATCTGCATAAGTTCTCTCCCATGCATCACGACCCCTATCATTTTCCTCCTCCTCATCCTCTTCATCCCTATTAAGCCGTCTTTCTTCACCATTAGTCTCTTGGCGTAACATATTGCTCACTCTTCTCAATGAAAACAAATAATCAGTACATCAACGGGAAATATGAATTTTTTTTAGAAGGTGATAATAAAGCCAAAGGAGTTGATTTTCTTCATCAGGACACAGATATATGCAAGAAAATTACAAATCACACGACATTTAGACAGTTCAGCTAACAAGAATGAACAACCACAGATCATTATAATTGACTTCACCTTTTAAATAAATTTTTTCCCTAATTTACCCATATTAATTTTTAGATTAATAGATAGATAAGAATAATTTTTAACTGATTCATTCCATGCCTCTCAGTTCCGGAACAAATATATAAAATTTGCAAAACTTCCTGCCACACACTTTGAACGATTGAAGTCTATTGCTTAGTTCCACTTTGTAGTTCAAAAGTGTTAAACACAGGTGAACAATGCTTCACAACAACTGAATAAAACCAAAGAAAAATACAAAATAATTATAAGGATTGAAGAATACATTTAGGGTAATTACAGTTCAACTTCATAACTCAACATAAATCAATCCACTGTATTTCTTCACTTCACGTCTTGAATATAAAATGATGCAGATTAGCTCAAATCACGTCTTGAATATAAAATGATGCAGATTAGTTCAAATACTGATTCTTATCAATCTCTCTTCCCCCATTCACTCACACAATCACAGTAATATTTAAAAAAAAAAAAAAAATAGAAATGAATTTTACCTCAATTGTTCTTGGAATAATTGAAATTGCGATGATCAAATCAAAAAACCTATGAGCAGAAAAGGGATTTCAGGCCGAAGAGTAACTAGCAGTTCAGCTTAAGGTATGAACTATGAAGTTTGAAAATACTCGCACAAAATGATAATTAAATTGAAGTCCTTGAAGTTTTACAAAATTTATATTTGAGCCCCGATTCAAATTAAAAATGCTTATGACGCCCATTTGAAGATTTTTAATGAATAACTCTAAAATGATTCATTAAAGATCACAAAATTATCATAGAAATCAAAGAAAATCGGTGACAACTTCCTATGTTTATTACAGATATTTCTAAGATCTCGTATTGACTTGTACTCCTCTTCTAAATTTTTTTAGAATAATACAATGTAGCCTCATTGGGGTTGTAACCAGGGACGGACCCAGCATTGGAGTTCAGCCTGGGTGGACGTTGACCGGGCAACGTTGACGACTGGAACATAATACTAATTCCTTCACTGTCAAAATGCGATCACGGTCACAAATTCCTTTACATTAACCCTCTAGAATACTAATTTCAATATCTGCCATCTCGAGCTCCTCAGGCAATCTTCATGTTCTGTTCTGTTTTTCCTTTTTTTTTTTAACTTTATATTTGCTCCGTCTTTAAAAAACAGTGTACAGATGGTTTCATTGAGCCCAACATCTTAACCATTATTTTTTTCACTTATCCCTAATTTCCTAAAAATCTAAATTTACAATTCACAAATCAAAATTATAACTGATTAGTCATAACTCATAGGAATTACAATAAATATAACATAAATGATCATTTCTCATCATTCATAAATCAAAAAAAAAAAAATAGAATGCTAAGTCATAGACAGGCGGCAGAATGCTATTGCACAATNGAAAAGAAAAGAAAAAGAAAAATAGAATGCTCGGTCATAGACAGGCGGCAGAATGCTATTGCTTAATGAGAGATTTCATCAATTTCTTCACATATATACAAATTAATAGAAGTAAACAAATTCAAACAAACATAGCCAGTACAAAAAATCTCCCGTGACGGCATAAACCACAAGAAACCTAACTAAATAATAGTAACAATTTCACTCTATGCACGCATTTGTCTGTATGATTCTGGAATGGGTAAAGCAGCAAAAGAGAAACAGACCCGATTCCGAATTTCCGAACGAGCACCTCAACACCATCCACGGACCACGAGACTATTCAGGTGAAAGTAAGTATTTTATTTTATTATTTTGCGATTCAAAGAATAAACAAAGAAATAGCTAAAATCGTGGAAAATCAAATTACCGCTTATCCGATTCTTAACGGTAAAGTATTTCGACCGAAGGAGTGAAATGACTCTACGTTGGATAGCACCTGACCTGATCCTTCGTGTATTTCCTGTGCTCGCCTCGTCTCCCTCCTCGGCTCCTCGTTCTTTGCCCGCCGGTTTCAATTTAGGGATTGGGATTTGATTTTGTGGCGACGCCTGTGGGAAGGGAAAAAATGTGCATAGTTTATACAAATTCAAATATGAGGTTTATAGATTAAAAATTCAAAATTAAGGTATTTTGTAATTAATTAAAAATATTTATTAATTAGGTCACAATCATACCATTAATGGTCACATATATATATATAATTGTAGGTCACAGCTTATCTATCAGTCACATATTATCAAATTAATTGGTCACAACTTATTTCAAGGTCACAAATCCAAAAATTGATAGGTCACATATTATTTCGAGGTCACAAATAAAAATTTTTGGAGGTCAAGAATTATTTTAAGGTCACATATCAAAAATTTCTTTGGTCACAGTTTGTTCATCGATCAAAATTTGTTTCTCGATCACATATTTTCAAATTATTTGGTTACAAATTATTTTGTGATCACATATTATCAAATTTTGAAGTCACAACTGGGTCGATAGTCACAGACGACAAAACAATGGTCACATACAATCGCCACCAGCACTACTGCCACTGCCACTAGGACCACCCTCACCCCGCCGTCGCCGCCACCACACCACCTCCACAACATGCCACCACACCCAGAAACACCACCACCGCACCAACAATACGAATAAAAATCATTCCTGCTACAGCCCCTCAAAACCACCTTGCTTACATCAGACATCAGTGCGTCTCCTTAAACGCCACCACACCAACAGATCGTCACAGCACCACTGCATCAGTACGTCGTTGCAGTGGCGATCTGAGCTCGGGTCTGTTTCCGCTGCGCCGTGAGTCATCCCTGCACGCTCGACGCCATTCACAGAGAGAGGACAGAGAAAGGGAGGGGGAAGGATAGAGAAATGACACTGCCGTTCCATTCACAAGAGGAAGGATGGAGAGGGGGAGGTGAGCGTCGCCGCCAAGCCATGAGCCATCACCGGCAACGCTGCCGTTCCATTCAAGGAGGAAGGACAGAGAGGGGGAGGGGAGCGTCGCCGCTGCTATTCCATTTACATAGAGAGAGAGAGGGAGAGGGAGAAAGAGAGAAGGGGAAGGGGAGGAAGACGACAGAGAAAGGGGAGGGGAGGGGAAAATGAAAAATTAGAGTTTTAAATTTTTATTACCTAAATTATGATTAAAAAAGTTAGGCACCTGACATTTGCACAGGAAACTTTAAATACTGGGAGCCGTGTAATTTCCTCTTGTGGGAATTGGGAATGGACTTGGCAACTTACAAGCAAAACCCATGGCCATGGATTGGGCTGGCTCGGGTTCCGGCTGTGCCTTATTTTTTTTAAAAAAAAAGTCCAAAAGTTAAACAAGTTAAAAAAGAAAAAAAAACCATTGTCTTCTTCTTCTCCTCCTTCCCGACAGACGGCGATTAGGCATCTAGCCTTCGGCGGACCCAGCACCGGCGGCTGCGGGGGTTGGCCAGATGCTGTGTCCGCCCCTGGTTGTAACCCTAGTTTAGATGGCTTTAAACGATATGCTAAATGAAAAGTAAAATTAAATGACTTATTTAATTTCACATATCATTTAATGACATATTAACGCCACATAGATTGGGGTTGTAGCCTCAGTGGGGTTAAATAACATTACTATTTTTTTTAGCTGCATGTATGTTTTTGTTGCCCTACCAGCAGCAAGTGAATTTTTATTCTATTAAATAAGCAAAAATAATTATAAAAATTAGTGCTAAGTACTAGAATATTATTTAAATTGTGACATGCATAATTTTATAAAAAGCATTTTTTTGCGCAAATCATTATTTCTATCCAATTTCATCCAATTTCTCAATAAAAGTTGTGAAATAGCTAATATACGGTATACCCAATAGCTAATATACCCTCCTATTTAAATAAAAAGCTAAAGAATTATTGCAATCATAATCCCACATTTTTTTAAAGGTGAAAACAAGTCTCTAACAAATTATTTTAAAAATTTAAATTTTTTTTAAAAAAAGTGTAAATGAGTCCTAATTAAATTTATTTAAAAACAAAAAACTGCAAACGAGTCCCAAATGAATTATATTCGTCATTTCATAATTTGATACAATTTAAATATAACAACTTGTTTAGAATCTTCATTATTAATCTATTTTAATACAATTTAATATCACGACAATATTTATTCATTCTTGTTGATCAGCGTTCTTAATTTATTGAATAATCTATTTTGAATATAATTAAAATTATCATTCCATGTGATATTCATATATCTCTATGAAAGATACGAATGTAAAAGCATGCATTGTATGATTTCTCCCAAAGTAGTGACACCATGATTTGCAAGATTTAGCTCTTGTGTGAGTCCCATTTTAGGGGAAAAAATGTATTTTTGAATAGTGATTCTTTCAGAAAATGTGTAGCTAAAAGTAAAGAAAAGTTTTGATTTACGTGTAAAATTATTTTATTGGAGAATATGTAGTTGAAAATGAGTTTCTGAAAAAATGGGGCTCAAACAATGGCTTAATTTATTGTATGAGGGGCATCCTTCAATCTTGGATGATTTATGTACTTAAATTAGGTCAAAATATGCATCAAATGTAAAGACTCGTTTGCTGTTATTGTTATATTTAATGACAGACATATTCGTCATTTCATAATTTTTAATTGAGAAAATATGTGAAAATGACATTTTACGCAATGAATGGTAAAAATAAGGGTGAGAATGTAAAAAATGAATGGTATAGACGTTTTCCACAATAACAATGAAAAGTTGGGACATTATGTGCTAATTACCCATAAAAATTTTATGCTTGAAAAGTATAGAATTCGTTGACAGATTGCAAACTTTTATTCTACATAGCGAAAACGTGTGAGAAAATGATTCACTTTACTGTTTATCTCGCAAAAAGAAAAACATGTAAGAAAATGAGTTAACTTGCTTGCTAGTACTTTAAAACAAAATTCTATTGCTAAAATAAGACAAGTTTGGGTAAGATAAAGTGATTTTAGTTTCTATGTTGTCAATATAGCATATAAATCTATTGTGACCAACTTGACAATGGTTGCTCTGGACACGTGACTGGTAATCATTCCATGCTAACCTACATTAAAAGTCATGCAGGTGGTTTAGTTGCTTTTGAGGATGGGGCTAAAAGTAAAATTGAAAGCATAGGTATTATTTTAATAGATGGATCACCTGTTTTGAATAATGTTCTATTTGTTGCTGACTTAAATGCTAACCTGATTAGCGTAGGTCAATTCTGTGATGATGAGCTCATACTATTGTTCACTAAAAGTAAATGTAAGGTTCTCAAAAACGATAGTAGTTGTGTCTTGCGTGGTGCTAAGTCCATCGATAAATGTTATTAGATCTTACATACAGGTCTTGTCAGAGATTGATCATGGTTGAACGTGTAATCTTTATTCAATAATTACTTCCATAAGCATTTTCGTATGTGATGTGGTATATTTCTTTCTAGGATTATGCTAAATGTACATAATTCGTTACACAATCCTTTACACCTCTTTCACATGGAGGGGGGTCCACACACAATAAAACATTCGTGGGTCTCCCTCCATGTGAGAGTGATGTAAATGATTGTGTAAACTATGGAGTGTACATGTAGCACAATCCTTCTTTCTATGCTTGTCTCTGTTTTCAAAGTTCCAAAAAATGAGTGCAGGAAAGCTCATACGAAGAAAGAGTTGAACACACCAGCAAAGGAATCCTTGGGAAGGGTCCGAACGATAAGTTTGAGTTGATTCAAAATAACATTACTACTTGGATCGAGATTATGAATTTTCACATTTCATCCATTTATTAATATTTAATTGGAGGGCCACAAAGGCAAATAAGCATTAGAACGAGGGGTAGCAAGCAAGCCAAATAACATAAAAGGAGGAAAAATCTTTTTTCTTTTTTTTTTTTCAAAAAAATAAAAAGGTCAGGAATAATGAACGAATTTCGAGTAGAGCCGATAAAGATGAGCGTTCAAAGTATATGCAAATTAATTTTGAACCGTAGAAACTGTATTTGGTAAATCAAAAATCACGGTCAAATAATCATTAGTCTCCACGATCTTACCTCTAAAATGATTTTAGCGGTAAAACAACAAGTGATCCGATTTGGTTTAGTTACCGAATGCTAAATTTAACAAAAAAATGTTCAAAAAAGTGTCGAACGTCATTTCTTTTTGAACTCATGCATCAGACTTTCTTTAAATTGATATTAAGTTATTGACAACACGGAGACCTATTTAATTAAGTAAGATCTTTCAGTCATTTTCTATAAGGTTGGTCTAATGTTCGCCAGGAAGGAAATGGCAAAAGGATGTTACTTGCTCTTGGTTTCTACCTTGTCCTCTTGACCTAAGTTGAGAGAGTTAAGTACTGGCAATCTGCATGATGAATGCAAAGAATGAGAGTAAGTTACAAAAATGAATATGTTGAATATATTATTTTACCCGACCATTTTTTAAAAGAGTAATGCCACTTGCAGTCGCTCACTGCAGCAATCGTCTTATGTGGCACACACATGTCATGTAGTTATTTGATGCATTAATGTGGTAGTTTTTTATCACATTTAATGCATCAAATACACACTTGACATGTGTATGCCACATAGGGCGACTGCTGCAATGAGCGACTGCAAGTAGCATTATTCTTTTTAAAACTCATTTTCTTCCGAATTCAGTTTATGCCACTCACCCTCCCAATAAAATAATTTTATATGTGAGCTCTTAATTTTCCCTATCTTTCTATCCGCACATTCTAAAATAAATTACTTTCCACAAAATTTACCATTGGATGAACTAGAACATCATAAGTTACCAGCAGCTGCAGCTGCCCCTATGCAAAACATGGAAAATTCCTTCATGTAAAGAGGAAAAAAATTGATATGAAAAGAAAGAATACAATTTAAATCAGGGAATTTTATTTGAAGTACTGACAGTAATTACAAGATTATTTACATTATTAACGTTACAACAGAAATAAAAAAAAAGTACAGAATATAACTATATAAAAACTAGTGCAATCACATATAAGCACATGAAATTACATAATAATTTTTGGTGACCTTATTCATGGTAGAACTTATCATGCGTGTCTAGTACACAATATCGGACACGACAGTCACGTCTAGTGCCGCTTACCAAATATGCCGAATGGCTGCATTTTGTGGATATTTTGCTTTGTTTAATGAAGAGAAGTTTCTGATAGTGGTGGCATGTAAAGTTCCAGACAGTTGGTCATGGCATTTGACAAGTTAATCTTAAACTTGTCTCCTTCTGATTGATGTCCCTTAAATGTGTCTCTATCCTTGTTTTCCTCGTTAGTTTGTCCTGAAGATGAATTGAAGAAACTTTGAAACCAAGAATTTGGTGCCTGATCAGTGTTTCCTTCGCCATTGTTGTTGCTTTGTGAGGGGACTTTTGGAATAAATTCTGTTGTGGGCTCGTTCCCAACGAGTAAGGAAGCTACCCGGTGATAGTCACTCGACGAAAAATAATCTAAAATCTTGTCTCGACCAACATCTGTGCTTACTGAAGGGAGCCCATTGATAATTGGAAGATAATCTGGAACGTTACTAGGATTCTTCTCAGTTTCTTTTGCATTCTTTGACATGTTGCCTTTTTGTCGAATTCGACATAGTACCCAATCGTCCAACTGCTTGGGAAAGACAATCTTTTCGTTACTATTCTAATCCTAATTTCGAGGTGTTAAAATGTGTCATGCGACTCACTTGGCCCATGAATGCTTTGGCCATCTCAGCTCGACTACAAAGGCCCGCATGGATGGTTCATGCAAGCCTCTATTAAAAAAAAGTAACGATATTCAGTATCATTGGTGTCAATTACCAGTCTAGATGGCAATTGCACAACATTAAATGATAGATTCATTTAAATGCAAGTCACATGATTCAATTAATTGAACATATCAAGTGTAATATTTTAAATTGACGCTCTGTCACACTGATGCTAGATGACATTATTCATTTAAAAAAGAAAATTAGGCCAAATTTTGCATGTTTGGATTTTTTTAACTACAATTTTAGTTGATCAAATTTTAATTTTAACCGTACATAGCAGAGGAGACTCACTTATCCATCGCTCATTTCTTAACACATGCTTAATACACTTTATCCAATGGCTAAAGTTATTCTTCAACATTTTTTTGAGATTAAACAGGCAATTAGGCCTGGGCAAAAAAATAAAAAAATTTCAAAAAATCGACCAAACCAATCAAATCGAACTGACTCGGGCCAGTTTGGGTAGGTTTGATACATGTAATTGGTTTGGTTTGTTTTTTTTTTTGAAGGGTTTAGAACCCACTTAAAACCTAAAGGCAACTAAAGGGACTAGAACCAACTTAAAACCTGAGGCAATTAAATAGAACCAACTTACTCTCATGGATCCTTTAGACCTTAATGGTCGGGGAGTCGTTTCGGGTAGTCTATATTCCGTCATGATCCAATCCGTCTTGACACCTTTCGGTGGTCGACCGATGTAGAAAACGAGAGCTTTCTTGACTCCTATTTTTCGTGATCCATACGAACTGAGAATCGGGTTATCAATTCCAGTAGCTTTCCAATAACCCGAAGTTGCTGTTCTATTAGGCCTTCTTCCATTCGGGTACTTCCGATCCATTGGAGTGAAAAAGTACCATTCATCTTCTCCAAACACAGATTTCCCTATGTATTCGAGAGAAGTGAAAAAAAAAAATTATTATTACAATATCAGCAGGCACACTATGATCCAATAAAGGCCATTAATGGCGTGTCTGATACGGAGAATTAGACAGTACTGGACAGTATTATAGAATAAGAGAAGTTCAACATACTGTCGAGTCCTATCTAACCTAACGTACCAAACGAGCCCTAAAAGAAAAGGGGTTGAGAGAGAACAAACTGGCGAGCTCCCAAGGGTCATAGTCATAAAGCTGTGTATCAGCAATCACATTAGCAGGCAGTGGAATAGATTTCACTTTGTTTAGCAAGTAATGAACGATTAATTCTTCGTCCGACGGATGAAATCGAATCCCGGGAGGAAATGAAGAACTGAAAATAGGGTTTTTCTCCATGGGAACAGCAGAAAAATCTTATAATTTCTATCTCGTCCTAGACGGCCGGCAGCTGGCTGGATAAAGTGGTTTTTCCAAGAACATTGCAAGAGAAATTATATATAAGCTGAGATTTGTGGCTTCAAGCAGATGCTGACAAACAATACACAGAGACAAGATACAATTTTGTGTCAAGCTTAAAGAAATAGTCAAGAAAGCATTGTTTTGCTTTATCATTCGTCTTACTCTGCAATATTTTGCTTGATTTTCTTTTCTTTCTTTTGAAATTTTGTGATTATTATTTTTATTTGATAATTTTATTTTTTTTTTGTGAAAAAGAGCTAGACCGTCGATAAAAATTTCTTTTATGATTTTATGCATCGATGGGTGTCATTCTAGTACTTTGTGTTGGACGTCTGAGAATTTGTAGTACATCTGCAATAATTCAATAATTCCTATTTTAATAATTTTTTCTTCGATTGATGTTAGATTCATTGTTACGTCTAATGAAGATCGAAGAACTACTAAATCTTTAATAATTGTGCATACTAATTCACGTTATAAAAAATGTGACGAATTTCTAGACCGTCAAGTCATCTATTATAACTTAATATCTTTTTATTCAAGTTGGAGTGATATAAAACACATGATGAGTTTAGAATATAATTTATGGAAATAATGTATATTAAGTCCATTTTTGGTATCGATTAAAATTCAAATTCGTATATCAAGTCCCTGTTTGGTATCGATTAAAATTCAAATTTTAATAAAAGTTAAAGTCAATAATCAATTTTAACCATATATTTCATGAATTCTACAATTTTTATCCATACATTTCATCAAATTTCATCAAAAATTACTAAAAATTTGATTTTCAGTCCATGTTTGATAAGTATTAAAATTCAGATTTTAATTTAAGTTAAGATCAGTAATTAATTTTAATCATATATTTTCAACTTTTATCACAAATTATTAAAATTTTAATTTTAATCCCACCAATCAAGGCTAAGTATTGTAATATTCCACATTGATGGGTTTGATGTAGATTCTAGGAGTGGATATGACTGTTCCAATACTGCTTTTTAGACGCCCACAGACAATAATATTACAAAACAATTTCGATGATATTAATGTGACATAATGATGCTGTTTTTTAATCTATTCATCCATATTCATAGTTTTCTCCGAACCAGACTTACACGTGTCATCTTCTTATTCGTTAAGTTCATATAATAGAGCCATAGTGGGACAGCCCACAGATTAATTAATGTGTGGACTATTACTTTCCTTGATTTGGAATGTGCTCTTTTTAGCTGTCCCTTTAACATTAGTTGGTTTGTTCATATCTATAAATCCATGGGGTTGGATTTCTTAATTAATTTAATTAAAGAAATTATTTTTCAAAACGCTATGGCCTTTTATTAACCTTTTAACAATGTATTTTATCAACTTTTATAAAAATCTAGAAAAAAAATTGATTTTAAATCAAACGAAACATAGGCTAAATTGTATTTAATTTAAGAAAAATGTTTTCCTTGCAATGGAAATTAATTTTCTTACTTGACCACACAAAGCCCCTGTTTAGTGTAACTAAAAATTAAATTTTTTTTGTAAATTTTAATAAAAAGTTGACGCTACATGTAATTGAAAAGTTAATTAAAGTTATAAGTATTATTAAATGTGTAGTTAAAATTAATTATTGAGTTTAACTTAATTTTTTTAAATCAAAATTTTAAACTACGAATATTGCAAAAGCACGAGAACCAACGTAAGTATATAATTATAAGTTTAGAATGGAAAAAAGTGTTGCGTGAAGGAAACTACTTGATTTATAATGCCAGTCTCGATTGGAGATTGAGTCCATATTTGATAGAGATTAAAGTCAATGATTAAATTTAATTACATATTTTATGAGATTTAAAATTTTTAAACCATACATTTCATCATTTTTTTAATTAAAATCTAATTTTATTTTACACCAAACATGGGTTAAGTTTATAATTTACACTTATATTAAACTCATGTTTGGTTTGGATTAAAATTCAATTAAAATATCTGGTCAAAGTCAACAATTAATTTTAGCCACACATTTTATGGGAATCACAACTTTTTAACCACACATTTCATCAACTTTTATCGAAATTTACTAAAAATCTAATTTTAATCTCTACCAAACAGGGGCCAAGTGAACTGTTTCTCAAATTCCATTACCCTTAAATCGAGATAAAATGGGTGGACAAAAGTCAAAAGAGAAATTAATGGTGGCAAAAACGTATGAAGGCTAGTTTGACAAATGACTGATGATATTTTTCACTCTAATATGAATATTGAGTGTTCCAATTCAATTCTAAAGAAAATGTCAAGGGGGATATTTGCACATAAAGATGGCGTCCGTTGGGTTGAATCACTGAAAATTACTTGTTGGCCCATTTAATATTGCCAACAGAGTTGAACAATCTTTGGGAGTCTCTAAGTAGCTCAAAAGAAAATTTCATTCCAAATTAAACACAAGTTTAGCAGAGATTAAAATAAGATTTTTAGTAAAATTTGATGAAATATGTGATTAAAAAGATACCTTCGTTAAAAAACCTAAACGAAAAAAATAAGTATACAACTATGGTATATTATGATATGTATAGTATTGGGGGAGAACTAATTGATTCTAACTCAAAGGGTTGAGAAACCCAATGTTACTAGTCTTAAACAACTTGGATCCGAGCCTTCTTTTTGTACTACTACTGATATGAAAATAATGGTCAAAATTGAATTAAATTGTTAACCCAACAAGTATTAACTCTCTCCAGCCGCACCTTCCAATATGGCTACAGGTCATAACTTCACTCCAATCGCTAGACTTACCTTCGGCATCCCCTTTTTGCGATTAAGGTAACGACTTCGGGCATGGCCAGCTCCCATAGTGTGATGGGTGGTGTGTACAAGGCTCGACATTCCAAGAATTCTTGTTATACGTTCGTTACAACCCTCAACCTCGTTTTCTAGATTCATCAATATTGAATCAATCAAAGTCACTTCTAATGACACTTATGCCCTCATCCCAATCGTCCACTTGGGGGAATATGTGCATCTAAAAGATCTTTGATACTGTGACCAATCCCAAAATTCGTTCGATACATATAACTAGCAACAAGAAAAATAGACTGCAATTTTAGAGAGAAGCAAAAGTGATAGCCTCTGGGGTCGCTTCTATAACTGGATACTAGAATCGAAAACCGTCTTCACAGTTGATGATTTGGTATTTTGATGATACCCACCTTATTGGCCACAACTTGTGTATTTATTAGACGAAAGATGAACAAAAATCAAGACCTCTTATTCAACATTCTCTTGACTCGTCCCTCATGAGGAACTACCAAATCATTCGACCCTTCACCCATTCTAATATAAATGATTAGTCAATCAAATAATAAATAGTAAATAGATCGATTTGAAAATAAATGAATTGCTAGTCGTAGAATATTATTCTCGTCAGACTTAAACGTAAACTCTTTAGAATTGTAACATTCACGTGGCATATAAGCTACTAATACGTTTTTCCTCAAAACAAGTTTGCCACCAACTGTAGCAGCACCTTTTGCTAAAATTTGTCCATTTTTAACATACTCATCGTCATATTTGGTTGGTATTGCTACTGCACATGACTTCGGGAATCATGATGATATTACTGAGGAACGTCTTTATGTAGTGAATTTTGTTTGAGTTTAAAAGACGCACATTAATTTAGAGCTCGTTTGAGCTCCAATTTTTTGCCAAAATACATTTTGGAACAGTATTTTGATCGAAAATATGTGATTGAAAAATAAGAAAAAAAATTGAATTTGCTTGTAATATTACTTTATTGAAAAATGTGCAATTGAAAATAAGAGAGAGAAAAATGTATTTTGAAAATAATGAGAATCAACGAGAGCTTAAATTGAAGTTAAATTTAGGATAAAAATTGGTAGTAAATTAGAATTGTTGTGGTGATCTATTATCAAATAAGATTACAATTATAACTAAACTAAACTAAATCAATCTGTAATTATTTACTATTTACAAAGTTGTGGAGAACTTTTGGATTAAGTGGTTAGGGATTCCAAATTCACTTAGACAATTTAAGATTCATTCAATTCAACATCATTTAGCCATTTTCATATATATTAAGAATTGAATTAACCAATTTTAGTTAGTAATCTCACTTGAGTAAAATTAATCCTATCTACAAGTTTGAATTTACTATATATACTTTATGTAAATTCATACACATGTAAAAATATTAATTTGTAGGAACTCAATCTTGATCATATAAGTGATAATTACCTCTCAATTTTAAAAAAAATATATGTCACTTATTACACGAACTAGACAAATAAATATGATCTTGATCTCAAAATTGTCCTTAAATCGATTAAGTGATAATTACCTCTCAATTTTTTATAAAATATATGTCACTTATTACACGAACTAGACAAATAAATATCATCTTGATCTCAAAATTGTCCATAAATCAAATAATTGTTGATCAAAACAAATATGTGCGATTAAACACACAATAAGAGCTTGTTTGAGAGAGATTTTTGGGGGAAGAATTGATTTTGAATAGTAATATGATGGGAAATGTGTGGTTGAAAAAGAAGAAAATATTATTGATGTGAAAGAAAATATTATTTTATTGAAAAATGTGTGGTTGAAAATGAGAATTAATTTACTGTAGAAAAATCTAAATCCCTCTCAAACAGGACCTAAGTAATTGACACATAATCAACTTGCATGAAATCTTTAGAATTAAATAAATATTAAACTTAACATATATTGATCATCGCAACAACCAATTGTTTAGCTAATCATAATTACGAAATTAAATAATAAAAAGATGAAAAACCACCAAATTAATTAAATAGAGGAAGAAAAGAATCCAAACATTTGTTATTCTTCGACACCCAATTCACAACCATGTATCTTCAATCTCATCTGGGATGAACAATCGACCAATCGTGTTGAACCTTCAAATTTCAATTTTAGAA